TTTCGCTCTTCTTTTATTTCCTCTGGGAGGGGCCATTCACCATCCACCTGTGGCCTTACTTCCAAGTCGACTCCTGTTTCTTAGTTGTTCCCTTCGTCGGGCCACTCTGCGCATGCGCACACTGGGAACAGGCTCCAGCTGTTCATCTGCCTCACTGATGTCTGACTCTGAAGGCAGCTGATAACTGTCAGACGGCTCTGGCCCCCTCTCTGCCTCTGACACAGAGCCCTCATTGGAGCCTTCCCCAGACTCCAGGACTGGCCCAGGTTCCTCCCCAACTTCCTCACTGTCCGAATCTGCTGCCAGCTCTGCTTGTCACTGGGGAGCCACAAAATTATGTTTGTGGGTACGATCAGAAAAATGTTTTTCTATGTTTTTCAAGGTTTACTCATGCTGATTGGCTGGCTGCAAGGGAAACATCTCCTTGATATGTTCACCATTGGAGTGAGGTAAGTTTGAGAAAGATTTCTTCCACGTGTAGGCGTAGCATGTTGAATTATCAAATGTCCCGAAGCCGAGTTGACTTGCTGAGACTTGGTTTTGTTGAACTATACTTGGTTAAAAAAATCATGATGACTTGATTATGACTTCAGGGAATCCACAGTAGTTGGGAATCACTCATCATGCTAGGTCAAAGCCAGATATACCATGTTATGAATCAGTGTGACATGCAAACTTTCTCATAGCGTCAAAAAGGGACATAGCTAATGGACTTCCAGCGCAGTGAAGAAATTCCTGTGCTGTCCAGCCTCTAATTTAAGACCAGTGCAGAGGACGGATGTTCTCAAAAGTCTTCTCATCTTTAATACATTTCAATAGATTTTTTTTCTAACTGGCTTCCTCTGGATATATTGTATAACAATTCCCAACAATTCTCAACCCTGAAGCGGACCTGGCTGACATCTTTGTGGCTTCAGGGTTTCCACAAGACAGAAGAGGGGACAGGGAAGGGGAAATAGGAAGCTAGGGTTTTTCAGTCAAAACAAAAGGTTTTCCTGCGGGAACCAAGGTCATTCCAACAGGTGGCTGGGAGAGGAGGTGCAAAGTAACCAAGCAATCATTCAGCACCTCTACTGGATAATGTGACCTATGACTTGGGGAAAGGGGGAAACTTTCACTTTTAATCAGGTGGAAACTGTGGGAACTTTCAGAGATGGTTTTCACCAGTTGTGCCAATATGAGGTATCCAAATAAATTGTTCTTTGAGGAATCTCCCTGCCTCGGAGTTCTGACATTAATGGGTACATTGGTTCCACCACAAATCCGCAAAGCCCTTATCCGCGGAGACATAAGCGCGAAGACTAATTCACGCCGTTCTAAGCGCAAAGAAAAACCGCGACCCTACCACGATGACATAATCGCGGAGGGCAAATTCG